TCGAACAGCCCGATGCTGGCTCTGCGGACAAGCTGCCCATAGCGACACAACCTGCGACCACGACCAACCGTGTGCCAACTGCCTAGCCCCTCATACGGCAGACGACCCAAAATGCCTTGCTCGACCCAAACGGGAACACGGCCGCCTGGTTAGGATAACTAGGAAGGAATATCAGAAGCTGCGATTGAATAACCAACGCAATCAAGCCCGCCAAGACTCTCAAGCCCGTACAACACCTAGTCCCTCGACGCGCTCTCTTACTATCCCCTTGTCCCCAACGCTAGCTGTTCTAGCTAGAAGGACTGGGGAAGTAATCCCTGCCCTATCGCTCCAGTCACTCAAGAAGAGACGGCTAGAGGGCTCGACAGCTATCCATATCACCTCTTAATGCAACAAGCCCGGCCCGGCCGAGCAGGGAGCCACAGCTCCCCCCTGCGGATCTTCCAAGCCAATGTCGGAAGAGGGGCTGCTGCCCATGACACCGCACTAGCCCTTGCAGATAGCAATGGCTTTGGCCTAGTCCTCCTTCAAGAGCCCTGGACTGCTGTTAAGGAAAGCCGCTGTCTAACAAAAACACACCCAGCCTTTAATACCTATTCACCAGTCACCTCCTGGACTGGCAAGAAGACCCGACCTAGGGTTATATCCTATGTCTCAAAACGCAGCAACTTAGCTACCAATCAACTAGCTATAGCGAGCACCCGAGACATCCTCTGGCTCCAAGTTGAAGGGATAACGATCGTCAATATCTATCGACGGCCGTCTTACGACAGAGCTCTTGATCTTCTTCTAAACTGGACCCCTCCGGCTAGCTCCTTAATAGCTGGTGACTTCAATGCCTCACATCCAACCTGGCAGGCCGGCCGAGGCAAAGGCAAGGGACACCTAATATCAAGATGGGCTCAACAGCATGACCTGCAATTAGCTAGCCCTCCTGACATCCCTACAAACAGCCGTGGCAACACAATCGACCTAGCTTTCTCAAATATTCAGCTAGCGGAAGCTACTATCGAAGACCATCTCTCAACTAGCTCAGACCACTCTACTATCAGCATTACCCTTCTAACAACTCGGCTTGCTCGACTACCAAGCCCTACAAAGATCAGGATAACAGGAGAACACAACCTGCAGAGGTTTGCCAACCTAGTTGAACAAGGAGTCAGCAGCCTTCCTACCCTAGCTGACACACCTAACCAGCTGGATATCCTAGCTGCTGCCTTAGTCAACCTTCTACAGACTGCTACTACAACCATCAGTCAGCCGGCTGAGAGGCTAGCCCCTAGAGCCCCCAGAGCCCCTTGGTGGACAGAAGAGTGCTATCAACAACATACGCTCTACAGAGCAGCAAAGAGATGCGCAACTCGCCCAGGTGACCACTGGCTGAAGGAGGCCCGGAAGGACTTCCAACGAACAGTCCGGAAGGCAAAGAGGGACTATTGGAGACGATTGGTAGACAATGCAGAGGGCCAAAATGATATCTTTAAGATTACGCGATGGCCTCGGTCCCCCGGACCCTTCCAGCCGCCGCTACTGAAGATAGACGGACAGGTCTATACGACACAGGAAGAGAAAGCCAACGCCCTGCGCCAAGCTGCCCTCGAGAGGCGAGACTCCGCTGATGACATACAAGACGCCTGGAACGAGGCCCCTAGCCAAACCAACCACAACCCCTTCCTAACAGAGGTCTCACTGGAAGAGGCTCAAGCAGCTACTATTGGGACGGGAAATACTGCACCCGGTGTCGACAACATAACAGTCAGCCTACTCAAGGCTTGCTGGAATAGCATCTGTGAACCCCTTCGCCGGCTCTTCCAACGATGTCTCGAAATAGGCCACCACCCCCTTATCTTCAAGGATGCTGAGGTAGTAATGATCGCAAAGCCCGGAAAGAGAGATCTCACATCTGCCCGAGATTGGAGACCGATATCTCTTCTATCATGCCTCGGCAAAGGGCTTGAGCGACTGGTAGCAAAGAGACTAGCGTCTCCAGCCCTCAGGCACCAGGTCCTTCATCCTCTACAAGCTGGAGCCCTACCAAAGAGATCAGCAGTTGATCTAGTCACTGCCTTAGTCCACGACATCGAGCTAGCCCTATCTAAGGGAAAGGTAGCTACACTGGTTACGATGGATATCCAGGGCGCCTTTGACACAGTCCTGAGAGGCCGGCTTGTCCAACGCCTCCTGCATCAAGGCTGGCCTGACTACTTAGTCCGATGGGTTGAATCCTTTATGAGCAACCGCTCAGCCCGAGTCCGGCTACAAGATAGAACAACAGCAACATCTCCCTTGCAATGCGGGCTGCCACAGGGGTCGCCTGCCTCGCCGATTCTATTTCTATTATACACGGAGCCGATCTTCCGGCTAGACCAACAGCCTATCCACCCGAGCATCAAACAGGGGGTCTCTCAGCCCCCCTGCCGATACGGCTACGCTGATGACGTCGGCACCCTCCGAACCGGCCGGTCCCTCAAAGACACAGCAACCCTAGCCAATCACGACATCCAACGCCTAATCAGCTGGGGCCAAGAGAACAGTATTACATTCGACCCAGCTAAGACAGAAGTTATGCACTTCTCGCGACGGAGAGATAACGCAATGCCCTCTATTACACACAATGGAATCAGAATTCTATCTGCGAAAGCAATAAGATGGCTGGGCATCTGGCTGGATCGGAAGCTGACCTTTCGTATCCATATTGATAAGTGGTCCAATAAGGCAGCAACAGTAGGCAACCTCCTCCGAAGCCTAGCTAATACAAGTGTGGCCCCCCCTCCTGCGTCTGTTAGAAGGGCTGTCAAAGCTTGTGTTAAACCAGTTCTTCTATATGGAGCCGAGACCTGGTACCGAGGCCTACAAGTAGACGGCCCAGCGATAAAACAACAATATCTGATCAACAGATTAGATAAGGTACTGAGAGGTGCTATTCGAAGCATCCTGCCTATCTGGAAGACTACCCCAAATTCCTGCATATATCGCGAGAGCGGTATCCCACCAGCAGCAATCCCACTTGAAGCCTACAGATATCGCTCTGCAGCTCGGCTCCAACGTCTCGATCTGTTACATCCACTCGCAGCAAGATCAAATCAGCCCCAGCTGATAACTCGACTACAAAGAACAGCTGCCCTACTTCCAAAGGCACCTAGACCGACCCTCTTGCCCCCATTGCCCCCTGCTACACCTCTAGCCACAATTCCCAAGGAACAAGCAGCAGCTGAGTTCCGAACCTGGATGCAGTCGGTAGCAGCCGAAGAGATCATCGTCTTCACAGACGGATCACAACAGCCAAATCGGAACACCGGATACGGCTACGCAATCTACACCCACGGCCGGGTCATCAGAGAAGGCTGCGGCCGCCTTGGGCTAGCCGAAGTCTTCGACGCCGAGGCGGAAGGTGCCCTAGCCGGCCTGACCGAAGCCACTTCAATTGACAGCCACTCAATCATACACATCTGCCTAGACAGTGCATCAGTAGCCTCTGGGCTGCTAGGCAGCCCGTCAGACAGCTCACAAGCAACCTTCCTACAGTTCCAATCGATCGCTAAGACTCGAGGCAGAGTCGAGGTCCGCTGGTGCCCTGGGCATCAGGGGATTGAAGGGAACGAAAGAGCTGACCGCCTTTCCAAACAGGGCTGCAGCCTCCCTGACCTACCCAATTCCCAGCCCACACTGGCCTATGTCAGACGACAAGCCCGTGCCTGGATGGGCTCGGCTTTCCAAGCCTGGTGGCAAGACAAGCAGCCAGCCAGCTACCAACCTCTTGGGCTCGAAGCCAAGCCCAAATGCCCAGACGAGCTCTCAGTCCCACGGAAGCTCCTACGCCATCTACTAGCAGCTAGATCACAACATGGAGACTTTGCGGCCTATCACGAAAGGTTCACTTTGCGGCCTATCACGAAAGGTTCAACCACACTGACTCGACTGACGACTGCTCCTGTGGTAGAAGGAAGTCACCCACGCATATCTTCTATTGCCGGAAGATATCGCCCAACAAGAGAAGACGGCTGCCTCCAAATGCCCTGAAGCTATTAGACAGGCTATTGGCAGCGGCTTTGGAGAATTTATACAGCTGGTTGAAGATATCGACTTCTTCAATCAGGTCTGCCCGATACAAAGATCGCCTACCTGGGCCCCCCGCCAATCTAGCCCGACTAACTAGGCAGAACACACTGCCCCCCCTCTCCTATATCCCCTTTTCCCCCTTTCCCTTTCTCTCTTACCCATAGTTTTATTGCAACCAGGCCTAGGCCTAGCTGCTAGCTAGAACTAACCTTTAGTATACTAACCAAACAGCTGGCTGAAGAGAGATGCCTGCCCTACAAGGCCGAGTCAGCAGCTTGCAACTCGACACTTCCAAGGTCCGGCTGCCGCAAGCAGACCTAATCGCAAGATCAGAAGATGATAAGATTAAGAGACCCTGACCTGCAGTTAGCTTGATTACACACCCTGGCAGATGACGTCACTTTTACAGTCACAGAAGGAAGATCTCAACCCAGCTTATAACCCCAGCACTTTCCCTATATACACACAGCTCTTTTAGCTGCTGACAACACACACACTATACACTCCTTATGTACAGCCCCTAGCCCCCGCGGACGGGGGCCGGGCCCGAACCGCAATAGGCCCCTAGAGCCGCAGAATTGCTAGATAGTTGCACAGTGGTGGAGGACGCCGAGGACTCTGAGACAACCATAAATCATGTATGTAACTAGCCTAGCACGTCCTTTTGCCCCAGAAGGGGATCGTGTGGGTCTTTGACCTTCAGGACGGAAATGAATGAATGAATCAATCAATCAATCCACCTGATCGACGATCAAATCGATCGATCAGGACTTGTAATCGATCGATATCGATCGACTGGCAGCTCTGATCGATCGATTTCGAAGCTTGCAATGTCGTGAAAAGCCTTGTAGAACGACTGCACTGTGGACACCTTCCTCTCGTGCGGGATGGGCGTGCACTATTCCCTGTTGTGGGACAGCCGTTTCTTCTCGGCGAATTCTTCATCTAGATAGCGCAATACGCTGGTAAGATCCTCTATCCTCTCCTCTTCCGTTCTTTCCTTGCGGACGCCCGAGCGAATCCGTTTCGCCGGCGGCCCTTCTCTGGCGACCTGGTCCGTCCTCCTCCTTCGCCGGCACGCATTCGAGGTCGATGTTATCTCTAACTCTGGAACGGGTACTGACTCTGCCAGGATCTCCCGTACCGGTAGTGACGTCGCCGGGGCGATGTCTCTCCAAGTGTGCTATTCTTGCGCTCCTCCCGGCCGTACAGATTGCCGTATGCTCCCTGCCCTTCTCAATCCGCGCCTCCTAGACCTAAATGGTGCTGGGGGGGTATTAGCTGGCCCGCGATGCAGGCTTACTCTCCCCGGACTGAGTGCCCCACGGCCACCTCCTGGACGTAATGTCTCCTTCGTATGTATATCCTCTTGCTTGTGCTGTATCTTCCTGAGTTGTATGGCCCGCAGGGCGACTCCTCCGGCGATGAAGGCTTGAGTTCGGGTTCTTGGCCTTCCGAGGCGACGCTTGGGATGCTTCCTATCTCCCCCTTCGTCTGCTGCTTCGTCGCTATTCCGCACGCTACTACTACGAGGCTCTATAGGTGCCTTCCCTTCTTGGGTTTGTTAAGTTGGCCCGGGGCTTGGGTAAACCAGCTCGCCAGTTTCGGGGAACCCTGTGGTTGCATTTGGCTGGGTTGGCTGCAGCGGAGCCCTGGTTTGGTCGACGCTGCCGTTATGTTTTCTATTATGTCTTCTATCACGTCCTCCTCAGTCCTTGCCGTTGAATGACCCCGCCTGATCCTGGTGCGACGGACGAGACCGGGTATGACCTGCTGTTTGTGTCCGTTGGACCACTCCTTGCGGCGATTCCTTAATCCTGCTACTGCTCCTCCTTTTTTATCTTTACCTATCCTCCGCGCTCCCTTTGGCAAAATAGGCTGAAGTGTCGGCGCTGAGGTAGCTATTACTATGTGAGGCTCCTGTTGCCTCTCATTATCCTTAGCTGCATCGCCTGATCCGATATAATGCCTCTGGTCTGTATTATCATCCAAGCTGCGAACGTTAACCCCGCAGGGCTCTATAGGCGTGAGAAACCCGTTCTTTCGGTCTGTATTATGTTCCATTATTGCGTTCCCTGCTCTTCTAATTCCAATTCTTTTAGCGAGGTGAGAAGGGGCCCCTTACCTGCTGTGACCTTACAATTGCCTGAATCTGATGCTCTCTGCTTGTGTCCTATTGTCCCGCTACGAATATATGCGCTGTATTTTACTCTATCCTCCTCTATTAGCATTTAAACCTCTATTTCTTCTTGCTTCTGTTATGCCTGACCCACCTACCTTCTGATCTAAGACAAACTATTATATCTATCTTTTAGACCCAGCCTTTTCTATCTGCTCCTCTCTCTAGGAAGGTCTTCCAGCTATTTATACAGGCTGTTTAAGCCGGCAATCTACAAGTCCGGGCTTTCAGTCAGAGGTTAGTGTTATCTATGTCTCCTAAAAAGCAATTTCTTTAATATAACAACTCTAGAGGCTTAATTTATATTATATATAAGAAACTGACCCTTCTTTACTCACTAGATAGAAAAATCAAGAGCTTTTTTTCCAATAATCCAGATCTATTAGAAAATTATAATATATAAGCCTTCTTTTATCCTCGCTATATTGATTTCTATTTCCCCTCTGCTGCTAGATGAATTTTCCCCCTTATTTCACCCTTCTTCTCAACGACCGACTACAACTTAACTTTACTTTAACTGCTACCTGCTGTACCGACATCGTCAGTCATCCCCGTCTTCTCTTATATTCTTTTCCCCTAAATTTTAACCAACGCCGACTCTTATCTTCTCCTCGTACCTATCGACATTCCAACCCACCTCTCTCGATGCCTGGCAAGGCAAATATATAAATAGCCGCCAGTATCTTCCATAATAGCTGCATCTATTACCTCGACCCATGGACCGCCGCATGCTCGCAAGCCGCTGGCAAGCCAGAGGAGCGCCGGCGGCGATATGTCCATAACGTTCTTCGTCCAACCCGGCTGCCCTTTGAGATTTGCCTCTTCAGACTTGTATTGTGTCAAGGGCCTGAATGCAGAGACTATTGCGAGGGTTATCCTCCTGACCCCTCTATAGCTTACAGCTTTGGATTACTCACCCCTGTATACCGATCCTGCTGATCCGTCTCCCTCTATCTTCTTCAGCCTTAACTTATCTATATACAATCAGCAGATTATTCTCAAGGACTGGCTTAACTAGTGGTTTTTAATAGCTGGTTATATTTACCTATGTGTGCTAATCTGGGATATTAAGTATTAAGATGGCCTAGAGGAGTCTGTAAATAGCAGTCTTTTTGTATATACTATCCCGGCTCTTATAGTACGCAATTAAGGCTATCAGCTGTATATTATATTCATTCTGTCCTCTTTCTACTACTCTTCCAATTTTTACTAACCTCTTTGCCTGTAGAATATTACCTCAGAGCCTATTTATAACCGATCAGTTTCCTCTTTTATCCCTAATTATCAGTTTTACTAGCTCTATTATAGGCCCAGGCCCTGCCCTTCTATATAAGAAATCTGTACCCGCCCTAAATAATATCCAACTTAAGTGCTGCAGCTTTATCCAGCTAACTATATTTCTTACTTTTAGAAATCCTAATAAAATACTATACAGAGGCTTCTATCCCTTCTAGATTTTTATTATCTTCCCTATCCATACAAATCCGTAGGCCTTGCTTTATAAGAAGATAGCTAAGAGGCAAGATACCCAGTTCCAGAGCAATATTTTGCTGACCTGTATCGATAAGGTGGCCGGCCTGCTTGGCTATTATCTTATAGTGCAGCCGCCGACCCTTAAGTAGGACTACATCTTCATCGTTATTCCAGACTCCTAGAACTTCCTCGACAAGAGAGTTTCCAGGTCTGGCTCACCAATGCCGCCGCCGGGTGCTGCAACATCAGCGATCCGTTCATCATCTTCCGGTTATATGCCGTTCGAGGAGATCAAGGCCAAATTCACCGCGCGCAGACCTGCTGCCCCATCGACTCCTCTTCCCGCTGCAACCGTGACTCCAGCTTCGACCCCGAGCGCATCAATACCATCCGTCATCTCTACACCATCTACGCAGTACCACTACCTCTCTACCTTACCGACGCCGAAGCGACTAACGTCAGGTGTCTATTACACACCGCCTGTAAAGAGACCGCGCTAGCCGCCGACGTCCCCGACCACTATCCCATCCTTGGGAACATATCCTTCTGCCGGCAGCTCGAGCTCACCGGAAACTGTTGACGAGCCCGAACCAAGCCGTAGCGGGACTCAGCCCCCTACCTCGTCCTTCATGAGACCCCTCGCATCAGCAACTTATCTGCCTGCACCTACACCTGTCTTTGATACGATCATGGCGGCCACTCTCTACCATCCAGTCCGGCTTTGGATGCTCTTTCTTACAGTACCCTATAGCTTTGCATCCCATACATCGCCTAATCCCCTTCTTTTTTTCCACAAACCTAATAGGCCAAAGTCTCCATACACCCCACCTGCTCGTCCAGGATGGCTTCCAGTGATCTCCGCCATCTCAACTATTCATAGCTCGGAATGCAAAACATTCTAGTGTAGGAGTCCGAGCCACATCATGTGCCGATTGACAAAGCAAGCACCTCCCACCACGACGCTACCTACTGCAAACACTTTCGCAACACGCAAGATTCGAACCTGGAAGGTGTGATCAGAGTCGATGAAGGAAAGGGAATTTGGCCATAGCCAACTTCGTTCCTCAAGGCTCCTTTGCGCAAACCGTGACCGGTTTGCCTCTCCTGTACTTGGATGCTGTCCAGGAATGAGCGGAGGAACAATTTTCCAGGCAAGCGAGCCAACCAGCTAAGTTAACCACTTGCCGATCCTTGAGTGGAGACTCACGTGCCAACAATGTTGACACCATAATATCGTCCGTGCGAAAAAGTATTCAACACTGAATTGGTGACATTCGTCGCGGTCTTTACTGTACCTAGAAGCAACCCTTCTTCACCAGCTTAATTACGCTAGAACAGTTCCTCCAGGCTTCCTTTGGCGGGCCGCTTGCCGGACCGATCCCTCCTGTTACATTTGACTTTTATGACTGCGATGTAACTTTTCCCAGTGTAAGGGGCCACACCGTGCGAGCTGAGAATACACTGTCTTCATTTTTCTCTAGTGTCCGGGATAGAACGACAGTCAAAAGGGGATCGGTGAACAAAATAGAGGCCCATGCTATAGTGTAGTTATGTATTTTAGTCATCTACCGATCTCGAGGAAGCCTGCATGTAAACTTTATTCAACAAGTTTCAAGTGTAATACTGCAATCATCTCGCATGGCTGACGTCAGGATTCCTTCTCAAATATAACGCGATTTTTAATAGAACCAATCTTGTCGATACTAACTTCCACCACGTCTCCATCTTGCAGCCACGCCGGCGGTTTCATGAAGGCCGCGACACCGCTTGGAGTTCCTGTCATAATAACCGTGCCCTTGCGCAATGTCGTGCCCCGGCTTAGATGCTGGAGTATTTGGGGAATGCCGAAAATGAGGTCATCAACATGGGTTGACTGTCTCTTTTCCCCATTGACGAAACATTCCATCCGAAGCTGTCCCGGATCCGGAATAGTACTAGTCGAGGTGATGACCGGTCCGATTGGCGCGAACTTGTCAAATGACTTAGCACTGCCGTGCTGATTCCCTGAGCGCTCAGGCATCTGCCAATACCGGGACGAGACATCGTTTCCAGCGGTGTATCCCAGAATATAGTCAGATACGTCATCTAACGCTTTCAGATTTTTGCAGTCCTTGCTAAGGACGACGCACAGTTCTGCCTACATGACGAAAGGGTTAGCCAGCGGCATCTAGACCAGCAGTAACTGTTCTTATAATACAGACAGGGAGGGAGCTTGGTACCTCGTAATCCATTGAAAAACATTCTGGATGAACTGGAATATCCTCGAAGGGTCCCGCAAGTGCATCTGCCAAGTGTGGGTGAGTCTCCGGCCGTGTCCCTTTCGTGAAGGGGGTGAACATTACCTGCAGGTTTGGTGAAAATGATCGGATGGTTTCCATAGGACATCTGGCTAGTCAGCGTTCTGATGTTGGAAAACGCTGTACATTGGAATAATTGTACCTTGGCTTCATCTGCGTGTTGCTTGTAGTTTAGACCAACACAAAGGAAGATTGGTGTGTGCGGTAGTGGACAAAGAACCTGATTTCCGACCCGTCTTAGTGAGGATTGCCAACAGAAATTTAATAGTATGAATTGGCTTTATGCCTACCTCTGAAACTCTACACTGTTTCTCCGTCAAGACAAAATCATCATCCCAAGGATTGTTGCCCCTGAAGATGGGAACAAGGCGGCCGGTGAGGGTCTCTTTAGTATGTGTCTCAGCTGCCCCAGCCTCACCATACTGAATGACTCCCTGCTCATCTCGAAAGCGGAAAAGACTTGTAAAAGGAGCCATTATGAGGCAGTACTTTCCAATAGCGGGGATTCTCAGGGGTTGCTGAAGAGGGAAGCGGAAGGCGAAGGAGAACGTGAAAATGCTTCGTGTCCCAAGCTGCAGAAGTCTATCACGCTTAGTGGTGAGAGAGAAGATGAGACAATGAACTCGAGATGGACGAACTGAATGTCCACGAATTTCAAGACCCGGGGTCTCAAGGGTATTTACACGCTCGTCCGCCCGCTTCAACGAATGAGTGTTAGGGTCAATATGGGTCCGGACTCAGTGTGGTATGATCCAAGTTACTCGGCTTCAGCTTGTGTTTACCTACATACTACATACGTACTACGGACATGGTTCTGAGTTGCGTTGCTTGTCATAGGCCGGCTTCGGCTTCGGGCTCGCTCGGGCTCGCTCGGTGAGCGCTATTTGCACCCCAGGTGCAGCCTAAGTGTAGGCTAGGCCAGCCTTTGTAAAAATTAGAACCCTGGGGAGAGTTTTGTACAGCGCGCGCGTGCTTGGGCCCTTTTCGTGTCGTATGTCGGTAGTTACAATTGTCTGCTCGCTGCTCTGTACAGCTCCATAAGCTGAAATGGGCAGAATTGTGAATGGATTGAGCTCAAAGTTGCAGTTCAGACCGGCGCTTCCGCTCGCCTAACATTGGATTGGTAGTAGATGCCTGGGGAGCGGATTCCGGGTTGGCTTCCCATATAACGAGAACCACGTTTGCCGTCCACAATCGACGATATTAACAACAATCCCTGACTGTGGCATTGCAGAATAGCTAACCACCCATCGTACTCCAATTCATTCTGCCCCTGAATTTGTGGCCCAGGCTTGGTAGCTCTCAGTCAGAGTTCAGCCACACTCATGAGCACGGTTATTGCATCATCCGCGGCAAAACCGGCGCCCCAGCCGGCGCCTAAGAGGAACTACAAGCGCGCTGCTCACGCCTGCTTACGATGTCGTGGACGCAAGGTTAGATGCGACGTTGCCCTCCGTGGCTGTCCATGCATAAACTGCCATCTCGATGGCGACGCATGCAAAGTGACTTGGTCAAGAAGGGCCAAGCGGTAGTAAGTCACATATCCAGGCATTGATGCATATACCTCTGTTGGTCATTGTTAATAACCACGAGGTAGTTGGCAAAACAAGAAGACTGGGGAACACATGAATGTGGACGATACTCTTCCCTCACACCGACACCAGCCAGAATCTCCGGATTGTGAGCACAGTAATGGCGACATTGGCAGGAGAACCGAGAATGAGGACTTGAGCGACTATGGGAACTAGAGCAAGAATGCAATCCGTCTCTGCACCACGCCGACGAGATCCCCTCCAGAGCTCGAAGGAGATTTTGCGACACTCAAGAGCTTGAACCAGCCTCCCAACGTCGAGAGTTATCTACCGGTTGAGATTGTCCAGTCATCTACTGCCGCTGGTAGTATTCTTGCCCATCGGACAAGCCAAGACACAGACCCAACACCCGTGCATGACGCTCAACCGGACGACAAATGCCAGAATGCCACAGTAGACCAATGGAATATTGAATTCCCATCAGTGAGCCTCATGGCAGAGTGCCAAAGACCTGCCCAGGTACCTTGGAACCAGAATGGCCTTTTATCTCCATCGTCCTACATCGCATACTCATACTTCCCGTTCATCACGCTCGGTAATCTCTCCTCGGTTCCCGCCCAAGACTTCCAATTCCTCGAGCTACAGGGCTGCTTATATGTCCCGAGTCGTCCTATTCTCGATAAATTTACTCGCCAGTATTTTCTCCACATGCATCCCCTGCTTCCTGCACTCAACGAGGGAGACTTTTGGGACATGTACTTTCAGCATTCAAATCCACGCGCGCCTGGAAGAAAAATATCGCTGCTTGTATTTCAGGCCATGCTCTTCTTATGCTGTAATGTAAGCTCGAAAAACTTCGTCGACGTGGCATATCTATTCGCTGACCTCTTCAAAGTTTGTTCCCGAAACAATGCTCAGCACTCTTGGGCTACATACAACACAGAAGGCATGCGCTATCTTTTATCGTCGTGCAACGCTACTCTTGGACCTCGATACCGAGTCCTCGCCCATAGCCAAGTCACAGGCTGCACTTTTTCTTGCCTTGTAGTCGCTGCTTTGTTACAACATTCCACTCAAGCCAAGTGTTCCATGGCTGTCCATCGCAATTCAGTACACCAAGGATGCTGAAGCCCACTATTACAAGACCTTTGACATCGACTCGGATGAATATTTTGTCCTCAAAAGGCTCTGGTGGTGCTGCATTATTCGCGACCGCATCTTCGGCCTGGGAATGCGCCGTGGTATACAGATCACGGGTGACCAGTTTGACTTCGTTGGTAACCCTAGGCTTTGCAATACCGACCTCGCGGACGAGATACATTGGAGCACAGTGCATAGTCCTGAAACCAATATCTATTTGGCCGACATCCTCGACTTGTTAGTCGAGCTGCGCGTCGTGCTCACCGACATACTAGATCTTGCCTTTCCAATCGAGGAAAGTCTAAGCCGAGGTGCAGCACTTGTCAAAGACCGGGGCCGGATCCGCAGCTGCCAGGTTGCCCTTCACAAGGGGCACAGGCACGCTAGCTTGCGGCTTCCAAAGTTCAGCACGTCGCTTGCGCTTCCAGAAGAGCCTGTGTATCACGACACTGTGATTCTCTATACGAACTTATTGCGCATGTACTACTAGTAAGTACACAGTTCTCTGTAGATTTTCTTAGAGATAGACTTTGTCCGAAAGAACAAGAAGAAACAGAAAAACGCTAACAAATCCAAACATCAATAGCTCGTCCAAAGTGGTTCTCAGCCACCACGAAATATTGCAACTAGCTGCCGGGTCCATGTCATGCCATGCCAGCTCGTCGGATATTTTCATCCTCAAAGATAACCGCTCCGAGCTTCAAGACGCCGTTTTGGGCACCACAGGGTGTCTAGAAAAGCTAACCCGCCTCCAGCTTGCACGCTAGCTCCCAATCAGTGCCGTCTCTTGTACAGCCTTGCCTCTATACTGAACGTCCTTGACGTACAGATATCCTCCTCCTAGCGGACCGAGGATTCTGAGCACTCAAATCTCGAGCGACACCGCCTCAGGGTACTCACAGAAGCCATGGAAACATATCAGCTCCAATATGAAGGAGTGGATTGGATCAGCGAGACAATCAAACAGATCATCAATCTTGCGACGACTACTTCCAGCATATCTTTGCAGAAATCAAGAAGCAAAGGCCAGCAAAGTCTCTCAGGCATGGGAGGCTGGATAGAAATCCTCGCATCTCGACCAAAAATGGTATCTTCGGCTCGCATTTACCATTGACCTGGCCTTGAGCAAGGGCCGCCTCCCGGGAGACAAAGTTTTTCTGCGCAGTCTTCGCGGCTTGTTGATGGACAACACTTTCTCAGTTAGGGAATGCCTACCAGAACCATTGGATGAGAGCAGAACCGTTGCCGCTTGCGTGGTGAAACCTGCCGTCTCACTACAGAAGGCCCAATACGACGTCACATCAGCCAGATCGAAGACGGTTCACGCAGAGGATACCTTCACCCGGCCCGAAGTGCAGGACGAAGATCTGTCCCGGCTGAGCCGTTGACAGAGCCAGAGTCTGATGATGTGGACAGGAACAATTGGCTGGACGAGCTACCAGACTACCCTGCGGGCTGGAGCGTAGTGGATGATGAGCGGCGTTCGGATTGTGCTGGAGGACGAGCTGCCGAGCATCTCGACCTATTATCTCTGTACGGCTACGAAACCTGGGCGGGTAGCGACTTGGATGTGATTACGTCGCAATTATCGTAGCGATTAGTTGACTCAAACGAACGGAGACGCCGAGAACTGGCCAGCCAGACGGAAAATGTCTTGTATCCGAAGTATGCGGCGCTGTAGCCTCCCACAAACCTGATTTGATCCCCCGGATTTTCTCTTGGTAAGTCTAGGCCCTGTTCACGATTACGCTGGGTGTCTCCTGGGCCGTGGGATGGCAGAATTAAACCCCGGTCACGCATGAAAGGGAGGGCACCGCCTTGCTCGATGGTCCAATGTATTGTTAGCTTACTTTCTGTGCAAGCCCGTGCTTTGACCGAAGTACAAGTATGAACCCGAGAGATCCACACAGAGAACCGTGAGCCCGAACCCGAATCCAAGCAAAACTCCCCCAAAATGCCAAGCCCATGCCCGAAGCCGACGCTAAGGCAAAGACTAATTGTATAGTGACCCACGGCGGGGCCCCATATCGTGGTGGTAAAGGGTTGTCCTTCTGAATATTGTACATGGAGAAAGACGCCGTCATCCACCGCCTGGCTGCGTTTACATGCTTGCCAGGTCTGGCATGCCCCGCGGCCCTATCTCCCGACGTTTCTTCAGGTCGCTCTCGTCCTCGCCATTCTTGATCGCCGCGATCATTTCCTCCGCGTTGAAGTCCGTGCCAATAGGGTTCTCTGCGAATTTTTCACTTATCATGAACGCAGTGGCGTCGTCTACCGTATCAAAGTTGTCGACCTGGGTCTCCAGCATGTTGCCATCCGGGTCCTTGTAGTAGATACTTGTGGTGGGGCCATGGTTCACGCACCAAACGGGTACGATGCCGCGGGCTTTGCGCTGACGGTACGCCAATAAGAGATCAGCCAACGTAACAAAGGTGAATGCAATGTGCTCCAAGCCGCAGGAGCTCGAATTCTTCGGCATCGTATCTGGGATCCCAATGAGCGCGACCCGGTGGTGTTCCTCGTCATACGTGATGAACGATATCATGTCGTTGCCGTACGTGATGCTGCCACCTAGGAACTTAACGTAAAAGTCGACCATCTGGCCCAGGTTCGCCGTGCGGAGCACAACATGGGCCAAGGAGGCGGGGCTTAGTGCCTTTGCGCCAGGCGCGTCGAAGTCTGGCGTAGTAGAAAGCGCCATTTCTAGTTGGCAATATTGAATCTTTGTTTGTGTGTAGGATGTTGTGCTTGATGCCTGAATCTGACCAGAGTCGGACAGCCTCTAATGCGTACAGGGCAAGAGCAAGGTCAAATATATTTATGACAACTATGTGGCGACAAGTGCTCGTTCGTCTTGCATCCCCGAAGCCGACCTCGCTCTATGCAAGGCAAATTCGGTGACATAGCCCCGCGAAATTCCCGCCAAGCTAGCCCGTAGTCCCCTCTCCCCATCCCATTGGGCATCGATCGACATCGGTGTAGCTTTCAAGTCTTTGCTCTTTGCTATTTCTTCCCCCCCCCCCCCTTCTCTCTGTCTATGTCTCCTTAGAGAAAGGGATGCCTCATACCTCATACACTTCTTCCCACATGTCTTACACAAGCAAAAACACTCTATGGCTATCTGACAGCATTGGTCAAGATGTGAAAGACCTAATTACCAAGTTTTATACTCTTGCGGACCCCAAAGAGTCAAACGCGGGCACCCGAATGGCTACCGAGGTTTTCACCAACGATGCCGTCCTCGTCACGGCCAATGGAACATTCCGAGGGGTTTCAGGTATTCAAGCTTTCCATTATTATTTTCGCGGTTTCCCCCTGGTTCCCTCAAAAATCGGATGACATTGCAGTCGTCGGGCACGAAATAATAGGTCAAATAGGGCTGCTTAATTGTTAGATGGAAGAGGAAGAAGGATCGCAATCTCGGCTCGCGTGGAGGGATATTAGACTTACACGTGATGTCGAACTGCGGAGGGCCCGAAGCTCCGGCCCCGGGTTAAGCATCAGCTAGCGGCTCCGGCCGTCATAGCTATCCTGTACCTAGGTTTCTTTAGCTGTAGACACCAGCCTAGCACGTCGTCTTGCCCCATAGGTGATTCTGTGGACATCTAGATGTCCTCACGACGGAAATTAATCAACAACAACAACAACAACAACAACCATTATTATTTTCCGACGTTCATATTTGTCTCACATCTAGTAACAGAAATTGCGAGAAGCAGAGACAATGCCTGGTCCGTCGTGGAATCTAGAAAACATCGGGTGCTCAAAGTATTTGCGAGCGATCAAGAAGACCCCGAGCTTTCAATCCTTGGAGCTGTAGAAATGTCAGTTAAAAACGGTAGAAGCCTGGATTCTCCATTTGCCTGCCACGTCAAGTTGGTCTTGTCCTATCCTGAGTCGGTGGACTGTCGAATCACGCATATGCAAGTCTTTGAAGTGCCTTGGTATACTTTATAATTCGTTCAGTCTAAACTGACACCTTTTACACCGACAGGATACGACTCCAATTTCAGCTACGCTAGCTGAATGATGGGCTAGAAGGAAGTCGTTTTGCGGGAGAGAGTACTACCTGGATGTTGAGGATGGGACGTGATGATCCGCGCATGCTAATGATCCTTCAGCAATGCTTTGCACCAGGAACTTTACGGATGTTCGGGGCCACGAGCTTCTAGCTTTATTAGTATATGTAGACAAAAAAGTATCACTCAAACTATCTGAGATTACTCTGCTGTGACCTTTACGGCTAGATGAGATGGATGCGAAAAAGGATGCGCTGTGCACAAGTGAGATTTGGTCATGTATGGACAATGCTTCAGTTAATCCTCAGGCGTACAGCTATGTTTAATTGCTCTTGTATATTCCTATATAAGCGCAGAAGGCGGTTTAAAAGAATATGAAAGATCTTTCCATGGCGACTTACGGCTCTCCCACCCGGCGCGTCTCCGGAATCCCTCCGCCCAACAAACGCAGGTAACTCTACGTCCTCTTGATGCCTCTGCTTAGGTTTTCGACCGGTGCGAATTGATGATAATAGTAGTCAAGGCTGTGAGGATTGAGCAGTGTGCCACTTGGCTTGATGGTGTGACCCGAGACAATTTGTTTGACTGGCAGCTCGACCTTCTTGTGGTTGACCGTTACCTAGTTCTGGCGTTAGACTGGGTGTCAGGAATGGGCGTAACTGTAAGCTTACTGGTATCTCGGGTGCCTCAAAGACGTACTTCGGTACATGCCTTTTGCTCAGTTCCTTTGCGATGGTCGTTTTGATGTCTTTTCATAGGAACGCTTTCCCGCAGCTAAGCAGATTTGCCTTGGATGCCCTTGCAATTCCAGCTATGGCAACTGACTGTGAGAGGGCATTCAGTCTGGCAAAGCTTACAGTCACCTCACAAAGGCATCCTTTGCTTGGATCGACCGTTGAGGAACTGCAATTGCTGAAAAACTGGATCAGGGGAGGGTGTGTTACGCTAGGGGGGCTATGCTTGAGCAACAAGGCCAGTGAGAACCCAGGCTGGGATCCTGGAAGCTGGGGATAGCTTCATCCTGACTTATGATATATCAGATATCAATCAATCAATCAATCAGATCAGATATAGGTCCAGATCTGATCTGATTGATCTGGCGGCAGCGCTGGCGGCAGGGGAAGTCGAGGGCGCAAGGCCGGGGAGGTTGAGCAGCCGAGGCTGTAGCTGAATGGTTGATATCAATTCTAGCGCAGACGAGTTTAGGAACGCATCAGACGCCCTTAGTCTTTCTCGAACTACGTCAAGTAGAGCATAGTCGAGGCTCATATTGGGCGCCACATTCCCGCTTCCAAAACTTGCGATAATAGTCAAATCATTACAGGAACTCTGGGTCCCAAAGCCGTTTTTCTCTTTAGAACTAGTCTTAAGCGAAACGGTTGAGCCAAAGTGGAAGGATCTAAACAAGACCAGCCGAGTTTTTATCTCCTCCCGAGTCTCATTGCTTTCTCAACTAAGAGCAATAGGGGCTGCTCTTGGAATAAGTGTTATTTAATTCTACATTGGTGGCACGGACTACATAGAAGGAACGGGGCCAGGAGTACTTGAGTAGGGGTATTTGTACAGTAGATAACCTAGGGAACAACATAATACCACTCCCCTACACAACACTCCCATACATCTCATCTGGAATCCTTTGGTGGGGTCGCTGGTGGGAGATATATTTTTTTATATAGAGAGCAACACATGTTACTTCGTCAACAGAATAAAAATGTAAAACCCAAGGAAGTATCGACTATATTTCATATTCGGACGACTAGCCGACCTTGAATATTTGATATCCGATCTCGAGAGCAGCACCATCCTCGATAGACTTCGCTCTCCCCACAGCTACAAATACGGAATCGTTGACCCATCCAAACTCCTTACTTCGGCTCGAAATTCTCGGGATTGTGTAGAAGTATTCTTCCCCAAATTCGAAACCGCTTCCGGGAGTGCCGGTGAATACGCTGGTTACCCTGGGTGTGATCGTGAATTTACCCATATATTGCAAATCCAGATTAATACCGTCGGGCCCTGTCGCACTGACTCTAGCATCCACGGTCGCAGTCGCCGTGTTGGGACCCAAGAGCATCCAGTCGGACGCTCCCGTTACCTCTAACCTGACCGATCCGTCTACTGGCGCGATATATCCTTTCTCTCCTGCGGCTGGTGAGAATTCCACTCGAGTGCATCACAATAGAGACGCACCATTCACAACCGTCAAGGAAGACAGTTCATTCCCCGGTGCCATACCTGTCGGTATAGACACAGACACAAACATGTTAAAGGCAGGAGTCAACTTTGGAGCAGCCATGTTATTAAAGCGAGAAAGCTAGCCTGTTGAGGGGAATGGCGGATGGAGTTTTCTTCGACGCCTGTTCTTGTTGCATTTGGCCTCCCATTTAAGCATCTTCCGCTCTTGGGTAGAGGTAATCCGAATCTCCTCGGCTTTGGCGGCCTAATTTCGGACCCATCATGCCAGAACCGTTTATGCTACCGAATGACCTCGGTCACCAGAGCCCACCTCTTTGGAACACCCCCATACGTCTTCATACCCGTCAGTCAAGGGGGTGTGGGTCACACCGGGAGACCAAGTAAGCTGCAGCCTCCTTGACCGACGGGTACATAAACGATCGGATCCTATTGTGGAAAGCCGACCCACCCGGCATTTACCGGGTTTGGAGCCCCGAAACCCGAGTCCGAGATTTTCGTGCTTCCCAACTTTTTTGTTTTGTTTTGTATTATTAACGTCTTGCGGGATCGGCCCGCCTATTCCTCGAGGGACAGGAAGACGTGCTTGGCTAGCTAGGCTAAAGGGTATCGAGCAAGTCAGACTACCTTAGACTGGTTGGTCCTTACATAACTTCTCATTAGGGCATACTATTATTCAGCATCTGGCTTCGGGATTCTTAGCCCGCCCGGCCTGTACAACGCTGCAAGCCTGGGCAGTCCGCAAGCCTCAACGACTGCAACCCTACAGCCTGGAAGCCTGAAACGCAATGCCTGGATTCCTGGCCCCGATATCATTACTGCTTTCGAGTTCATTCGGCGACGAGCTTCGCTTTGTGGACAATACATTAGGACAACTACGGCGGTAGAATCCGGTCCGGTCTCTTCTCCCATACCTTTTACCATGATGGCGGCTTCCGGCAAGCCGAAGCCGTGACAGTTCTCTTGATCGGAGTCAATCATAGCTTTGACTGGACGCCACATGCGCGGCATTTTTATTCTCGCATCGCTCTTATCGCTCTTAAAGGCTTTGTTAATTTTGGCAAATCGCTATTAATCTCACCGGCTTCATTCGGTCAACTTACTTAAGCCCGGTTGTATAACACAACCGATCCTAGCCGAAGGATCAATAGTCCGGCCCCACACCGAGCTGCTTCATGAAGCCTGTCGGCATAACCGAGGAATGTTGGATCCGCGGGGTGCCCGCCAAGCACACGCTGGGGTAAATTGAACAAATTATGGAACTAGTGAGTCTATTGATTGGTGCCTTGTGTTGCATTCGAGCGGGGGCGTCGGTCTCACAGAGCTCAAACCTAATTTTAGCGTCACTTGAACCGAGCACAGGCGTCAATCTAACAAGGAGTTGTTCGATTTGATCAATCAACATGCTACTGCTGCTCACCACAATAATTCATGACCTATTTTTACCGTGAACGCAGCCCAATGCGACACTAATGATACAGTTAAAAGAAAGCGCAATTTTCTTTAAGGTTCTGTCACAATTCTTGGAGCTAGTGTTCTTGCGTTGATTAGAGCTGTGGATATCGGGGTTCTTGCCCGTTGAGCATCATCATGGGGCTCGGCTGTATCACGGGCTGACTTCCTCGTGGCCCGCCAATCCCAGTAGATGTCCAGACGCCTTATTCAAGGATTGACTCTGACGGGCTGTGTGCTAGGCTTTCCCAGCTTCTACTCCCATCATACAGGAAAGGCCTAGATCAGCTCCTCTTCCTGATAGCGGTCGAATAGGGTTATCGATCCATCATTAATGTTGTGGGTGCGCATGGTTCCCACGGAGAGAATTCCCGGAATCCATCATGCCACACCCGATGTGCCGGAAGACTGCTCATCCCCGCAACCCTCCTTGCCGGGTGTCATGAGACTCCACCTCAGGGCAGAGGAAATCTCAAATCATAACGGGTCTGGAACGCGCGCACCGCCGTAGAGCACCTGCATTTGGCTGCAAGCCCGACTTTCAGGTGATTTTAATATCTACGAGTCTATAGTTATAGAGTAGCAGACTTTAAAGAGAAAGATAATCATGTCTTGGTTACTGTAGACTATCCCGATGGGAAATCTATTACTTTAGCGGCGGAAAAGGTCAATAGCCAACACCCAAATCATCTGCTGTTCCTTGAGAGGGTGCACAGAAAAGCGTCGCACAGGCGTCTTGCTTGGTCGGCCCGAAGCCGCACCAGACTACGCGTATGTGGTCGGATTGATCTGAGGCTTATGTCTCCTAATAGGAAAGCATCTAATCGGATGCTCTATTGGGTCGGTCGCAGGAAATAATAGTGGCAAGGCATCGATGAGGCCTGCGGCAGACCGTCAATTGGCGAAGTGGAAGACTGAGGTCGGACAAGGATCGTGACTGCAGTCAAAAATAGTCTCTCAAAAAAATCTCAAAAATAAGGGCAAAAAGTCTTCATTAACTCTGACAATAAGGTCTTCGAGACTTCTGTCTCTCTGACTGAAAAGAAAAATTGATGAAGGATGTCATGATGATCCCTCCTTCTGTGCGTAGCTTCCTCCCCTATTTATCCCTATTACATCCCTGCTAGCGACCAGCTAGCCCAAGAGTCCCTGGCCGCCCGTCACAATGTATTTTGAAAATTATTGCTATTTTTAGCTTAATTTAAAATTTTAAGATTTTTTTAAAAGTCGCGATTTAAGGTGAAAATCAGAGTGCGGCGCTTGCTTGTCTGCAGCGCTCGCTGTGAAGGGCTGGACAGGAGTTTGTTCAACATGCTGTTGCCGTAGAATTGTCTATCTAAAGCTAGAGAGTAAAAGAAACAAAGAAGGGAAGCTGCCCCTGAGCAGCTAATAAGCAGCATGCTGAGTGGTGGGCTGGGACAAGAGACACTAGAAACACACAACCCACCCAGAAGGCAGATTTGGTGATGACTGAAGGAGTGATGTGTCTGCTTTAACAGATAGGGGTCGGGACCAAAGGCAGGAAAGGTAGATCAAATAAATAGGACCAATGGCTACTGCATTCAGTACCATTTGATCAAACGGTTCACTAAAAGAGACTGAAGAAATGGGCTAAAAAGACTGTAATTTGAGCTGAAGACTGATCATGACTGAGGGTGTAGCCAGACAGCTATCCTAGTGATGATCTTGAAAGAGGGATGCTTCTTGCTTGCTTCTGTGAACGGCCTCTAGTAGCTGGATTCCAGCTATCTAGTCCAGGATGCTATTTACATCAAAGATGAAGAAGAAAGAAGTTCCTAAGCGCCCCTGAGCTGTAGAACGATTTCTCATCCCTGGCGCGCACGAGCCTAGTACGCTTGCGGCACAGCCGCAAGGATATGGGCCCTGGCCCGTGACATTACCCCCCTCCCTCCCGGGAGAAGAAGTTGAGGGCTATCTGCGGCTCCTCTTGCGGTTCTTGCGCCAGAGCTTCCACTGAGCGGTAGCTTGCAGGTTGCCAATGGGTTCCCACGTAGGCTCAGAGTAACCAACCCGCTTCACTAAAGCTTCCTTACGCCTTACGCCTTCCTCAGTCTTCTACTGCTCATCTAAAATGCGTTCTACCTGCCACTCCTCCTCGCCATCAACTAGAATGGGTACCGGTTGTGTATTATCAGGTCTCTGTGAGGGCAGGTGGTCTGTCGATGCCGGACGTAATAGGTCGACGTGAAAGACTGGGTGAATCCTACCAGGTACGTCTAACTGATAGGAGTGAGAGTTAACTTCCCGGACCACTTGGTACTTGGCATGTAGCCAGTCCAGCTTCTTCGATGGTCTTGTGGTCTTTACGTTCTTCAAACTCAGATAGACCCAATTGCCTGGCTTGTACCTTGGGGCTGCTGTGCGGGACCTGTTGGCGAACCGTTCTTGCTTCTCCTGGGCTGCGGCGATGGCCGCCTGTGCCCATTCTGTAGCGTCTTGCAATCGTCTGATGAAGTCCTCAGCGAGAGTTTCGCCCTCCTTCTGCTTTCCTTCAATCATGCGGTCTGCTACCAGGCGGATCGGTTCATTGTGGCAGCCATGCATAAAGAAGAATGGGCTCAGGCCTGTTGAGGATGCTTCTCGGTTGTTTATGCTTGCCATTACAATTGGCAAGAGGTCCAGCCAGTTATCCGGAGTGTAGGTAGCCCAAATCCGTATAACCTTCTCGATCTCTTGATTTATATGCTCTGTAGCGCCATCAGTCTGAGGGTGATATCCAGGGTTCAAATCCATACCACGAAATCCACATATGGATCCATAATGTGGATCCATATCCATTCCATTCCATTCCACGTGGGCTTCAGCATTTCCATATCCACGCCACGGAGCCCCTTCCACATGTTCCACATATGGAAATTGTGGAAAGGAATAAAAATTTTAGGTGGGGTTTAAAAATACCTGGATTTCCATATAAAATAGCATATACCCTAAGTACTTTCTATTGCCTACAACAACACAATAATATCGATTTACCACCCCGTTTTATCTATACATAAAATTCAAATAAGTCTATTCTGGGGGCTTTACTATTACTTATATTACTACCCTAAATCGAAATAACCACCCTCTATCCTACCAAATCAACCACACCCGTTCCAGAACGTACAGAAGAAGACAATCAACGACTCTTTCAGCTCTACAAAGGCTGGACCTTGACGGAGAGAGATGGCTAAGTGCGTCAATAGGTATACCAGTTCGGCTACGATATCCAGTATACCCAGAAGCGGGAACGCCGATAGGTGTGTTGCCTTTGTATCAAGTAAAAGCAGCCGAGGCTAAAGAGTTATGCTATTAAAGGGTTGCAGAATGCTGAGGGTTACCTGTACACGGACCACAATGGTATTATGGATCCGACAGGCAAGAGGCAAAAGCCTGCACAGGCATCCGAGAAAGCACATCAGTCCATTGCAACAATCCTACAATTAAACCCCAAGGAGCCGAAGGAACAAGATTTAATCAATACGCTGATCAAACGTTTCGACAAAACTGTATTCCAGCAGAAACTTGTTAATTGGATTGTCAATTCTAACTAATCCTTCTCGATCGTCAACGATCAAGATCTTCAAAATATCTTTAACTACCTTAATCCATCTGTCGAGATCACAAAAGCTAACATTACTAACGTGACCGTGCGTGCCATCGCAGAACGAGAATTTACCAACAACATGGAAAGAGTGAAGGATGCTTTGCGAAAGAGTCCAGGACAGATCCATACCCAGTACGATGGCTGGAAGTCTGGTAACCGACACGCCTTATACGGCATCACATGTGTGTTTCGGGATCCCAACAATCGGCCACAGAAGTGCAGACTTGCCTATCCTAATATGCTATCCTGATATCATCTCTGCTATCCTGCTATATCCGATATGATATATATCGGATATCGGATAAAGCTAGGCTCCCTTATCCTGATATCTATCCTAATATCAGGATAAGCTGCCTGCTCTGATTGGCCAGATTTCATCTTATTGCCTAATAAGATCTAATCATTTTGTGTTTGCAATCTTCAAATCTCTTAAACATAACTTAAGTGTGTACTATACCGTTAGATATAATAAGTTCTATTATTTTGCGCCTCTCCTATCTTAAACTATAGCATCTTTATTAAAGCAACTTACAGATTATACCTTACAGTCCCAGATAACTATTAATCCTACTATTAATATAGAATTAGTATTATTTGAGGTCCTAAACTTCAATTATATATTCTATACAATATATTCTAATAAGAGCTAGTTAGAATTATTAGGAAAGTATAGAATAAAGAGAGTAGTTATTTATAAATACCTTATCTATTCTTCTAATTAGGCTTAGTTAAATTTAAAATAAGATAATACTATATACTATATAAAGTACAAATACTATAATATTATTAACTCTTTAAATAGTATAATACTCAAATAATTATTAGATATAAATTCTCTAGTAAAATAAGTTAGACTTAATAATTATTATATAGCAACTCTATTAGAATCGGCTCTTTATAAAGTATTTAATTCTTAGTAATATACTAAGAGTATAGTTAGCCTTTTTATATATTGTTAATTACTCTTTTTAGTAGTTATATAGAATAAGATATAAAATATT